TCCAAATCACCTCAGAATGTCCTAGAGGAAATGTTTCAATCACTTCTTAAATGCACCTACTTCTGAGGCATCAGCACACAGTAATATAAGCATAGGTCATAGGACATGTTCAGCTTTGGCATGTCCAGGGGCTGCACACTGCAGGGGTCAGTTCCCCCAGGTTCTCCCATGCTGCACAGGCTGCCTCTTCCCCTCTACCCTGCTGCAGTGGCAGCATGCAGACCTTTAGGCTCTCCCCTGCTGTAGGGCAGTGGGAAAGGCAACTGCCAGGGATTGTGGGTGGCACATTAACTGATTGCAGGCAGCTTGTGGCCTCTGAGCCACCAGTTGGATAGCCCTACATAAGCAATTCTAATATGATACTTGTAGGTAAGCAGAATGGGCTAAACTCACAGTGAAAGTCAATAGAATTTTTACCATACAAATGTACAGAATTTAGTTCTATGGAGTTATTTAACTGGAACTTAATTCAGCTTTGTGACCTTTGTTCAGTGCCTATTGACAGGTAAAAATACTCCTGATGGAATTATCACCACCTTTCCTAGAATACAAGGAAAAATTCTTTCAGTTCTTACTAGGCCTAAGACAGTTGATGCTGTGAGATTTCCTATCCTAGCACAAAGTTGTCCATAAATCAGTCATTGCTTTTAACATCCCTTTCAGTAGCTATATCAATTTCTGTTTTTCTCCCTTTCCTTCTCCCATACTCTCCCCTTCCCTTGTTTTTGTCTTTATTTTTAAGTGTCTATTAGTTTTACTACTTCTCTGAAGCCAATGATTATACACAGAGTAAAAGTATAATTCAATCTTTTTCTTCTGAAATGTGTGTTTGATCTTCTCTTTCCCAGGAAAGTTGATGCAGTCCCTGGGCCAGGTCTGTGAACCTCTGTTTACACCAGCTGATTATGTAGGCTTCCATTTCAGGTATGATATTTTACCTCAGATTGGTGTATAAATCAACCAAAACAACTTTACCTGCAGGATATGCTGTGGATCTAGCATTCAGCTCCTAATGGTGCCAACACACCCTTTCTGTTATCCAAGTAAGCAAATAAACTATGTAAACACAGTGTATTTTTTTCTGCATTAACTAACAAGACATAGAGGGGTCTACTCTACCATTGGGCTATGCCATTGCACACCTTTGAGAAGCCCAGTTCTACCCTTTACATTTGTAACAGCTGTGCCTGGTATAGGCAGTGAAGCACCGGTGATCTCACCCACTGAGGAAAAATTCTCCCCTGGTCACCATCATAAATTTAATGCTAAGTGGTATACATCACTATTGCTGTTACCATATATACTCAAATATAAGATGACCACCCAATAATTAGATTCTATATATTGAAAATTTATAAAATGAATATAATTTATAATAATTTATAATTTGATATAATTTTAAATTGGAGGCTTTATTTAAATTGTTAACTTCCCATTGCTACAGCAGGGGAAATAAATCTGGGAGGGGTCAGGTAGCCCCTTTGCCCTCTGCCCCACAACTTCTTCCTTTTGCAGCTGCTTCTCCCTCCTTATTGTCAATCCCTGCTCTTCCTAAGCACATGGAAGTGAAGAACAAATTTGAAAAAAATGACCTTGAAATAAACATAGCTGTAGCAATTTGCATATAGTACCCACAGAGTTAGTTCATCCAGAATTGATGCATTTTACCTTTTTGCCAGTTTTAGCGCAGGTACTCCAGAAACACACTTTTGAGCAGCACTTTAGCACCTACTTAGAAAGGGTACAAACTACCTATGAGTTATGGGATCCTCCAAAAATTTATATATATTTTTGCCCCCCAAAAAGAAAAAAGAAACCTATTCTTGTGGTAGGTACCCAGCAGCATGTTTTCCCCCTATGGGGCATGTACTTTATAGTCATGCTCAGTGCCGGCTGCATTTTATCAGCGTCATAGTTTGTTTCTATTTCTGAGCACATTGATATGCAATGTAATAATGCAGTTTCCTTGTATGTGAAAGTAAGGTGAGGGGCTTTTCCCCCTATGTTCATTGAGTGGGAAACCTCATCTTATATTCAAGTAAATATAGTATTTATTATCTGCACTGCAGCTGCATACAGCAGTCCCAGTCCAGGACCACCACACCAGCAGGTGCTGTATAAACAAAAAACATGAGGATAGCCTTCACTCCAGAAGCTGAAGTATCTTTTTGCCTATTGGAATGTTTAGTCTTCAGAGTACATGGTAAGTGAAAGCGATGGTAGATACACACTTCAACCCTAGTAGGGCATGACTAGGTAGCTTATGACAATGGCTCCTTATGCCTGCTTGCATGTGGAAGCAGATACTAAACCACTCCTTTTAAAAGAAGTCAGCCACATGAAGCACTGCTAAGCACACTGCTCCCAAGTTCCCTTGAGCTATCACACCAGTATCTGCATGAGAGAGGGAGAATGATTCAGGAATCATCTTCTGACCTCTTACAGCTCCATTCTCCTTCCTCCTGAGCACTTCTGGCAACAAAAGTTAGCAAGGAGCCCCTAAAATCTCTGAATTTTCTTTACCAACAAATAATTAAATGTACTGCACAATGAAGCCAGTGGAATTAAAAGACAACCTAACATAGGTTTTCCCTGTTATTCATGTTGAGACACTGTCAGCAATGCTATCAACTAAAGAACAAGATGAGCTTGGCAGGAAATCTTCTCTACCAGAGCCAGCTGTCACGGTTATTTCTGATGCTTACTGCCATTCACATGTTGCCAAGTTTGATAATCTTCCAGAAAACAGGAGGGTGGTAGGGGGGAGAAAAGCAAGTGTTCCACATCTCTTGACACAAAAACAGCATTGTTGTTACTTAAGTGTGAGAAGACAATGGAGGATATCCCATTTTTTTAAGTGTCATTGTTTTTATTGTCTATATTTAATGACTGAAATATTTCCAAAGGTATTTATTGGCCAATGCTTTGGTTTCTTACATAGGTTTACTAGAGAGATTCTACCAAAGCACTTCTCCATATGCTCAAGGCAACCAAAAGACTCGTCACTTTTCTGTTCTAGCAGATGGGCACAGAAGCTAAGTATATTTCAGTGAAAAAGATTACCTCATCTGCCTATCTGCCACCAAAACAAATAAGAGTAGAAGTCCATTTTCTTATGTTTTGGCCAATCTATGCTTAAAAGATTCAAGCAACAGGCTTTTCCCCTCTTCTCTTGGGAGACTTCCCACAGCCTAATATATCTTACTGACTGGAAAGTTGTCAGTATATGTTTTTCTTTTCTTAACGCTATATAAATGCCTTTAGCTATGACCTGGCAGATCACAAAAAATAAATAATTTCTGGGTTTGGTAACAGTAATAGTTGTCAACATGTCTCTCATTTGTTTTCTTTTATTTAAGTTACATAATTTAGACTTTTTCTGCAAATTTTCATCATAATCTCTTCATCCTCCATTCCTTAGACACTAATTCCTCTTGTTGTCTTCCTAACAGGTTCTTAGTATGTATCTAATAAACTAGGACATGAATGAACAGATCATAACATTCAAGATTCTGCTTGGAAATGGACAATTATTTTCATAATCCATCATGTGATGCCTTTATATCTGTGGCCCAAAACTCCATCAGTCCATTTACAGTCTTATCAAATCGTTAATTTCTTCTCAGACATTTGTGTTAACTTCCTACTTTAAATTCAGTGTTATTTGGCATGCTTACCTTTTTCTTTTCTTTTCTTTTCTTTTTTTTTGGCTTGAGGCATTCATAATTTTTGCTTGTCAAATCTCAGTATGGAAGACAAATATCATAGGATGTTACTTATTTTATTTAGATGCCTTTAGCTTTATCTGTTTTCTGTTGTTTATAATTGAACTTTACAGCAATTTAGTTATGGGTAGCCATAAGAAAATTTGATATGAGGTTAGGAAGAGGTCTCAGAGCAACAGATGGTACCAAATAAGAAGTGGACACATCTTGAAAACCAACACAAAGTGCCTAATCTACAAAGTAAATATCTCTCCACAACTTGATTTTAAACAAAATTGTAAAACTTGAATTTGTAACACATTAAGGAAATGGTTGATTTGATGTCTTGAAGCAGAATTTTCATGGCTTGGCCACTGATGGTGAAATAGATCCTAGAAATAACTTAGACTTTGATATAGGGTGCAAGGTACAGACCATATTATTGCACTTCCAGTTTCTTGTATCTGTTCTGACTGACCTTTGAAACTGAACTTGCCTTTCTGTCACAAGAAGCTAATTCCTATGCCATTCCATCACATGGTGAGGTAGTATTAGATTAAATTCACAACAGTGAAGTGAAAGAGAAGACTGATAGAAAAGGGTAGTTATGATAAAGTATTGTGGGAAGGGGAAGAATTATTTACTGCATACAACAATGTCCTGAGAAACACTGGACAGAGGTATTCAAAATATAAGCCATAAGTCAGTGAAAGTAAAAGGACCATTCCTAAAGCTCGCAGTCTTTGAATGGAATGATTATTTTTGCTTAGTGAATCCTATTAGCTTTACATAAAGTCAACTACTTTGTGTCATTCATCTACATTTCATAAACTGCTCTGAAATGTCACTTAAAAATAAAGGAAACATCATCAATCATGTAGATCAAAATCAAAAGAAAGCCTTCCTTTTCTGAAAGCTGCAAGTTGCTATGGGATGTGACTTGTTTCTAAACAGATCTCTGTGACTTTTGCAGCACGAAGCATGGAAATTACAGGGTCTACTTGAGATATAATTTTCATTGCTATTGGAAATAAGGCTTTAGTTGTCAATTGCTATAAGATTAGTTTCCTACTTTCTCAATGCTTACTACTTGCTATGTGGAGAAACCAACCTAATGATTACATTCACAACAGTGGGAGAATTTTGTTGGAGGAGATTCTAACCTGTTTTTGATTTAGGATGTAGGTTGCTTAACTCTTATTTTTCCTATTTAGCCACTTGTTGCTAGCAAACTGAAAAAATGCAGAAAGCGTATCCCATTTAAAAGAATAAGAAAAAGAAACTGCTGAAACTTACCAAACTATTCCCTGAGCCCCAGAGCCAATAGGTTTTAAGTTCTGATAGCGTTTGAGAACTGTGAAGGTCGAGTCACCTACTTCCACGCTGTAGAACTGGTTGTCAACTTTGCTTTTGCTCATGTTGTAATGTTTGGCAATATATGACACATCCACTTGTTTCCCAAATCCCTGTCATGGAGAAGAGGAGTGAAAATAATAATAATAAAAATACCATATACTAAACCAAGGCCAATAAGCCATCAGCATAATAATGAAACACAGTGAGCCTTGTTTTCAAATATGATTCACTGTCATTTTATGCTCTCTGTCAGGCATGCATGTTGTCAGATGAATTCTCAAAGGTTTTCAAAGACTGCATTGATCGCTCCCCCCTTCCTCCCCTCCACTGACTGATATTAGCATATTACTGTGGCACTGTGACACTGCAGACAGAATCTGTATGGTGCAGCTAAAAATCTTATTTAAATTACACTGCAATAAATTAGGAATAAGTCCTTTAACACAAATAGATGCAGGATGTTGTCTCTTAGGTTGGTAAACAATAACAGTTGCCTAAAATTTGAGAGCTACTGCTATAAAATGTGTCTGAATCCATTTCTGATTACTGGAAAGAAAAAGGAACTGTCAAGGCATTTGGATTGTGGGACAGATCCTGAAAGGCAATGAGCAGTTCTTGTCTCCAACTAAATTAAGTGAAAAATATTAGCTGACAAGGAGCACTTTGCATCAGTTCCTGAATTTTAAAACAACGGGGTCATGTCCAAATCTCAGTTTCAACACAGTCCTTTTCAAACAAAAGTACCACTGAAGTCAAACCAAACAAGAATAGCGCAGATGTCTGGAACTGCTCCTCCAGTAACAAGCAACTTGTAGAGGGTAGAGTGCAAAATCATTTGAAAAGAAACACAAAATATAATTTTGACATAAATATGCCAACGTGTGTACATACATCCAAGACCAGCAGCCAATACCAGCTAGTTTCTGACCCCTAGACTCTGTCCAGATGAGTGCAGTTGTGCGGTATGCGGCGCCGCAGACATGTCTACAATGCCACATTCAGGTGTTCTCACACTTCAAGGAAGCAGCACGAGGGGGGGGAGTTGACCCCTGGATATCCACAAAAAAAAAAAGTGAAGTGGCATGTGCTGGTGCAGTATGTGCTGCTCAAAACTGAAGCTAGGATGGCTAAAGCCATGCTTCTGGCTGCCAGCCAGGCTCCAAGTGGCAGAATCACTGCTGCTGCAGACCTGGAAAGGTCCCTAGGACCTTAGGTAAAGCTACTGGGGCCAGCCCAGTGCTAATCCCAGCCTCCTCTACCCTACCCAGGGTAACCTTCCGTGCGCCAGAGGGCACATGGCACATGTATTCCCTGGGGACAACTAGCAGCGGCATAAGGTGCTGCTAGTTGTCCCCAGGGAACCAAATGTCCACACCTGTGTGGACACAGCCCTAGAGTCCAGTGAGACAATAGGAGGGTAAACTGATCTAGACTTAAGGTGATACCAACAACCGTATAGTGAAGTCTGTCACCATCCTTAGCAAATGGCATTTTCTTGATCCTTTAGTGCTTTGAACATAATTATTTATTTTTCATTGATCATGCCAGCATACATGTATTTCACAAGGATTTTAAAAACCAGGATTTAGATGTGGAATATGTCTGTCTTTGACTAACTGAATAAAAAAGAGCAACTGAGTCTGGAGCCATATCTCCTGTTCTGTGAACACTGTAATTTAGAATCAGAAAGACAGGGCTGGAAGGGACCTCAGATAGTCATTCAGTCAGCCTCCAGACAGGAACATCCCCGTGCAAACCAGCCCAGGTGTATACTTATTTAACTGGCACTTAAAAGCTTCTAGTGATGGAGATTCCACAACCTCTTCAAGTAATCTATTTCAGTTGCTATCCACCCTCAGATTTAGAAAGTTCTTCCTACTATCCAACCTTAATTTCTGTTGTTGCAGTTTTAGCCCATTACCTCTTGTCCTCTCCCCAATGGTCACAGAGAACAACTGATTGCTGTTTCCTTATAATACCTATTTTTTATTTTAGGAGTTATCAAATCTGTTTTCAGTCTTCTGTTCTCTTTACTAAATAATCCCAATCTACCATTTCCTTGTATGTGATGTTTTCTATACACCTAATGGTTTTTATTGCCTTCCTTTGATTAATTCTGATTTGTCTACATCTTTCATGAAGTTCATTCCCTTAAACGAACACAGTATTCCAGGTGAGGTCTCAGCAATGCTGAATAGAGAGAAAAAAATCACTCTCTGTGACTTGTATATGACAATCCTGTTAATACAACCAGAATACTTGTGTCTATTTTTTGCAAAAATATTACACTTTTACTCATATTCAGTTTGTGGTCCAGCATAACCCTAGATCCTTCCCTGTAGTAATGTAATCTAGCCAGTCATTCATGATTTTGTATTTGTGCCTGTGATTATTCTTTCCTAACGGCAGAACTCTGCAGTTTATACTTAGTGAACTTCATCTGTATTTTAAACCATTTTTCCAATTTATCATGGTAATTTTGAATCCTAATCCTGTCTTCTATGGTATCTGTAACCCCATCCAGCTTTATGTCATCCACAAATTCCATACATGCATATCCAATATTAACATCCAAGACATTCATAAAGATATTAAACACATAGACCTAAACCAAGCCTCTGGAACCCCACTTGATATCTCTTTCTAATCTGACACTGAAACATTGATGACTACTTTTTAAGGGTGCAAACAAGCATTCATGCAACTGACTTAGGTTTAGGAAGCTTAGTTTGAGCTGCCTAAACCTGAGTTGGGAACCTGTGCATGTAAGCATGTAAGGAGGAGGCATAGACAGCCAAAGGTAAGTAAATCGGGGAATGGGGGTTAGGATGATTTAAATGTAATGGCTGCACATAGCCTAAGACAAGGGATATCAACTAGGGGTACGTGTACCTCTAGGAGTACTTAGTAAGGTCATAGGGTATGGAGCACACCCTGAGGCACCGCAGTAGTCTCCTCCATCACGTTCCCACGCTTTGCCTCTTACGCAGGGAAGGGGTATGCTGGGTGCCACCGGTCCCACACAGCACATCATGGCACTTCCCAACCCCCCAACTCAGTTCACTCTCCTGATTGGCCATGACACATCACCCTCAGCCAATAGGTGACAGTGAGGAGGTGCTGTGGCCACCCCCTTCCTGCAGAGTAGCGAGGGTCTCAATGGCAGGGCATACGTGTGTTTCTGTGCCCACTCCCAGAAGCAGGGCCAGGGATCAGAAAGGGCAGTAGCACCCCTCTTGAGGCTGCACAGGCACCACCCAGCCCGATGCGGGGAGGAGGGGGCACATGCGGCAGCTGTCACCACTACCACCACTGTCCTGCACCACTTTCCCATGGCTGATTGCACGTGCGACTCTGTGAGCTGCTGTTGGGTGGTGTGCAATTGGCCAGGTGTGATGCCTGTCGGCAGACCATGGAGCCACACGTGAGACCAGCTTTGGGAAAGTGGGGCACAGTGCCAACATGGGGTGGTGGGTGGTGGTGGCAGCATGGGGAAGTGGGTGTCATTGGCACTGGCACAAGGTGGTGGTAACACGGGTGGTGTGTGAACCCCTCCACCAAAGTCTGGCCAGCAAGGCAGCACCTGTGCAACCCACTGCTCTTGCCCCCCCCAGCCCTCCTCCTGGGAGCGGGCACAGAAACACACTCCCCCACCCTGCCATTCACACTCTCTGTGCCTTGCTGCTGCTGCTTTCTTTGAGCACAGCACAATGGCCATGTGCATCCCCTCACTGGGAAGGCAGCAGCCTGGCATCAAGCCGCCCAGCAGCAGGATGCACATGGCATTGTGGCGTTCTTGAAGCAGTGGCAGCAAGACGCAGAGGCAGAGCAGAGCCGAGCCCATCCTCGCCCCACTCACCAACTGGGGGGGCACATGCCCCCTCTTTGCTCCACCGTGGTACATGCAGAGGTGGGAGCCCCCTTCCTCCCCTCCCCCATGCCTCTTGATGTGCTGCCAGGTTCCCATTGCCCCATGGCCCGGCCCAAGCTCTATTCATCCCTGCCCGTACCCCACTCCCTCCTGCTCCCCCCCAGCCCTTTTCCTTTCCCCATCCTGCCCCTTCCCCACACACACTTACCTGCTGGGGGGATGGTGTGTGTGTCTGTGTCTCTGTCTGCATGTATGTGTGCCTGCCCCCTGCCCACCCAGACACAGCAGGCACATGGCGTTGTGCAGCTCTTGGGATGAAGAGTCCAGCCTGCATCAGCAGCTGCCTCTGCCCCATGCACAGATCTGGGGGGCTGTCACAGAGCACTCAGGTGCCCTGTGACTGAGAGCAGAAATGGCTCGGGAGAGACCCCTAGTGGCGAGAAGGGGGAGGCTCAGCTGCCAGTCACCAGGACTGCGCAGGTGCTGGTTGCTAGGGCAACCAGTGAAACCTAGAGCAGTAAGGGGCAGGGCCTAGCCCTTCTTACGCCCAGGCAGGAGGCCAGGAAAGCAGTTTCCCTCTGGCGGCAGAGGGAGGAGGAACTTGGCCAGTGCAGATGAAGGGGAGAACTCTGATGGTGGGAACATCCCCTGGTTGCTGCTGGGGTTGGTGTGCTCTCTCTCTGGTAGGGATTGATTCTTGTTTGACCGAACAGTCTAGCTTTTATGTTGTAGCCCAGGGGCTTTGTGTTCTTGTGTTTATTGTTTTGACCGGAGGACAGGGTGAGGCTATTAGGGGTTGGAGGAGGCCTCATAGGGACTCCACAGTACTGTGGGGGTTCCTGGCGCCAGAAAGGGCGCAGCATTTTGGGATGCATTGGCCCCAGCCCCGGAGCTGAGGGGGGCAGTGAGGAGCCCCGGAGCTGAGGGGGGCAGCGAGGAGCCCCGGAGTGGGCAGTGGAGAATAAGTTAGAGGGCGCCGGTAGGGGCATGGGCTGTGAGACGAGCTAGAGGGTGCCGGCGAGGGCGCAGGCTGAGGGTTGAGTCAGAGAACGTCCACGTAGCGCGGAGAGTAGAACAGACCTGAACAATGTCAGATACACCACAGCCCAAGCCTCACAGATGTAAGGGGAGGAAAGGAGCTGCAGATAGTGCCTCAGGCACCGAGACAGAAAATAGACAGCCTTCCACTTGATTAAAATCTTCCAATCAAGCAAATAACAACAAGGCATGGCAGGAGAG